CACCGCAGCGCAGCACCACGCCACGCCCACAGGGGGGGGCGGGGGGGACCATCGCGCGGGGGGGGGGGCCCAATGGCATCAGCATTGGGGGGGGGGAGGGCCCAAGCCCTGGACCATATATGCATGCATGCATGTATTAATGTATGTATATGTATAGGTATATGTATATGTACTTGTATATGTATATGTTTATGTAGATGTATGTGTGCATGTACATGCATTTATATGTATATATGCTTATGTATATGTATATGTATGTGTATGTGTGCATGTATACGTATTTGTATATGTATGTGTGCACGTATATGCATATGCGTAGATGCAAATGTATACGTATACATATATGTATATGCACATGTAAGTGTGCATGATTTTGTACATGTGTATGTAGGTATACGTATATGTATATTCATATATCTGTTTATGACAGTGTATTTGTATACATATATAAGTATATGTGTATATATGTATATGTATACGTATATGTATATGTATATGTATATGTATTTGTATATATATGTATGTATATACATTTATATATGTATAGGTATATGTATACGTATATGGGTATGTATATGTACATGTTTATACATACGCATATATATGTACAAGTGGCACGTGTGTGCCCAGGCTCATACAACAAGCTGAAGGGGCGTTTGAAGCAGGAGTGACATGCAACAGCGAAGTCGCACTCGAGCGCAAGTGGGGTTGCCACACCTTGCGATGTGTGTACCAGGGCCCCCCAGGAAGCCTCAGGAGGCCCGACTTGGATACCAGAAGAGGCTCCAGGAGGCCCCAGGATTGTGAGTGTTGTGTGTGTGTGTGATGTGTGCTTTGTGTGGTGCGTGCTTTTTATGTATTGTCGGTGTTGTGTGTGTATGTTATGTTTGTCTAGCGTGTGATGTGTTGGGCGTGAATTGTGTCTCTGTGTGTGCATGTAGTTCTGAAGCCCCAGGAGGCCCCAGGAGGCCCCAGGCGGCCTCAGCAGGCCCAGGAGAACTACAGGAGGCTCCGAGGCGGGGTCTGGGGTACCAGAAGGTCCAGAAAGCCCCAGGAGGCCCCAGGAGGTTCCAGGAGGCCCCCAGGAGGCTCCGAGGAGGGGTCTGGGGCTCGATTTTGGGATGATGTTTCATGCGAAACCGCCATTCTCTGAGAATCGGGGTCAAAAATATTGAAATTACCATTTGTGTTTGAAGGTTTGATGTTAAAATGTTGGGATTCCCATGTGTTGTTTTGACCCTGACGTCACGATCTGCGTGAGGGGTGCCACCGATTTTCAGAATTTCGAGGATGTCCCTAGCGAAACGGCCAGAAAAATCGCGGACGACGTGCGCATTCATCGCCTCTGAGCTCTATTCCCTCGGAGAGATACGTATGATACTATATACATACGTATATGCATGTGTATACGCATAGGTATGTGTATTTGCATACATATATGTGTATGTACATGTATATGTATGTGTGTGTATAGGTGTGCATGTATGTATGTATGCATGCATGTATGTATGTATGTGTGTATGTATACACGTAGGTATGTGTACATGTATGTTTGCATGCATTCATGCATGTATGTATATATATATATATATATATATATATGTATGTATGTTTGTTTGTATGCCTGCATGTATGCATGTATGCATGCATGCATGCATGTATGTAATCATGTATGTGTATGTATGTATGCATGTATGCATGTGTGTATGTATGCGTGTATGTATGTACTTTGTTTTATATTTGTATATTGAGAATGAGAGGGAGAGAGTGGGAGGGAACCAGAGGGATATATAAAACGAGAGAGAGAGAGTGACATAGATAGAGATAGAGCGAGAGAGAGGGATAGTGAGACAGACGCTATCATCTAGTGAGTGCGGCTTCCTTCTCGGAAGTTTCTTGGGCTTCTCGGAAGCATGTTCAGGCGGAGTTTGGTCTCTGACGCTGCTTGGGTGCAAGGCGCGTCACCTCTCGCCGCCAACTCGAGGCTGGTGTATATGATGAGCCGTGGACGGCAGCACCAACCACAGCATGTTGCTTCTGCCGGTACTTCGCCACCGGGTTCCTGGACAAGGCGCGCCTTTGCAAGCACGTCGATTTCGGCACCGCCTGATCCCGAGGCTTTGCCTCCTCTCGGCCTCGCCCTGAGGCTGCGCTCTCCCCCTTCAGTCCCCCTCTTTGTTAATTCAAGCTTCGCGCGGCCCGCTTAGCTTCGACCGGAAGAGGTGCGCTCTCGACCCGCCGAATCAAACATTGTATTTCTATTTTGGCATTCCCAGCCGGTTTTGAAACGTCTTCGGGGCCCTTCGGGGCAAGGGGGGGTCCTGGATTTATGGCGCTCTCTTTGAGGCTTATGGAGGGCGTCTTGTTGGCCCGTGTCCTCTTGGGAACATGTGGTCGATCTGGGCGCATAGTGCCCGTCTTCGAAGTCTTTTGTGGACAAGGTGATGACAACGCTTTCAGTCTGATATGCGCAATGAGAGCCCCACGTACACCGTCGTTGGAATCGAAATTGGGACCCATGGAGGGGTCGGATTCGGGGATTGAGCGAGGAGAGATGGGAACGAGCTCTTCAGAACTGGCTGCCCCAGAGGATTGGTGATATCTGTTCGTTGCTCGAACTCTGTCGTTGTATGATTTTAGTACGCGCGCACTTCAGCACGACAGTGACTATGCGTCTGTGAGCACCATGGGACATATCGGTAATTATCACAAGTGCTCAGGTCTCAGGGCATCGTCGCGTTCTGAGCACCACAAGGCTTGTCAGCACCACATGGCTTTTACCAAAGCAATGTGCAGTCTGCGAGCTCCGATGCGCCCGCTCAGTCGCCCCGAGCAGTTCACGTGCGCTGCAATACCCACGCGAGGGAGGGAGGCCGAATATCTGGGCCCCCTCGCCCCCCCCCTTCCGGGGGAGCAACGATATCCACACCGCTACTCCGCTGACCTCTCCCTGGGGTGCGCTCTCATAAAGATTTCGAGGCGCCGGCCGTGGCGACGAGGGAAGGGCAGCGGCATCGGCATCTTCTCCTCCTTGGACCTCCCTCCCAGAAGAGCTGCACTCGCCGCCGAGGCGACCAAGTCGAGGGAGGAGATCGAGACCCTCGCCCCCTCGGCCTGACGCCCGGGAGCGCGGCGAGCCCCCCCTGGTTGGCGAAGCGGGCCGGAGGCCGCTGCACCGCGAGGGCCCGCTCCTGGTGGACCCAGATTCGGGTATGCATCGACCCTCCTCTTCCTCCTCCTCTTCCCCCTTTCCTCCTCCTTCTCCTCCTCCTCCTCCTCCTCCTTTTCCTCCTCCTCCTCCTCCTCCTCCTCTTTCTACCACTCGTCTCCGCAGGACGGGCGCCGGTACGCCCTGGGCCCTTGGATCCGCCCTGGGCCCCCCCCGGCGGCGCCTCCGGCTGGATCCGCGCTGCCCCCCCCCCCCCGGGAGTGATTGGCCCGTGTTTTGCGGGCGACGGCAGTTCCAGTTCGTGGAAGGTCGGCGATGGACGCTCGATCCATGCCCATGCTGCTGCCCCCCCCACCCTGGGCGCCAGGATGAGCAGGGTATCGAGAAAAATCTTGTCCCCTGGGGCAAAATTCTAATCCATGCCCCCACACTAGCCCCATGGTGGGACGGGGGCGTGAGCAGGAGGTTGGATAAGGCGTCGATCGTCTAGAATGGTGCGGGGGAGGCGTCCCCCAGCACACATCTGAGGCAGGTCCCACAAAACCCAGTCTCGCCAATGCCCGACGGACATTCTGCGCGGGGCCTCCACATCTCGGCTTGAGTCCTTCAGGGGCAACGCCAGGGGAAAGGGGTCCGAGGTTAGAGGTTTTCCGGAGGCGTGTTCGAGGGTCGAGACTTTTCCGGGCGTTTCCGTCAGCGCTCGGCGGTTTTCCAGCCACAGGACGTTCTCCAGCAGCTGCACCTCGCCGAGGGCGTTCTGGCGGTGCCCGGAGCGTCCGGGACGGCCGCAGGAGGCCCGAGCCCATGACCCGAAGACCACCAGGCGTCGAGGAGGTCAAGTGCAATGTTTTTGGGGGGGAGTTGGGCTCGGGGTGTAAAGCATCGACCCCCAATCGCCCACTGATCGCCGATAGCGGCCTGACAGCCCAGCCCACCCAGCCCAGGAACTTGCGGATTCGCTATCGGGGGCATGTATCGTCTATCGGTCCATGCGCGATGCATCGCCGATTCCAGGTTGATGCTTCCCGCCCCTGGGCCAGTTCCCCTTGACGTTGCCGCTCAATCTGGGACCCTCTGGGCATCCTGAGTGGGGCCTTCTGGATCGAAGATCCAGGATCCTCGGTGGATCCGAGGGGTCTCCAGATCCCAGCGCGAAGGCGAGGTGCCCTGGGGTCCTGGAGGGAAGGCGTCCTGGGTCCTGGAGCTCTCTCGGCATCTCCGGCCACCTGGGGCCCTCGGTCGGCACCGGGACGGTCCAAAAGTGGCCCATCATGGAAAAGTGTCAGGTTCGGGCAATTGGGTCATTTGCGAAAGGGGTCTCGAAAATGTGCGCAATAGTTCGTGCTGGGTCGTGCTGGATGCTGGCAGAATTCGTTGCATCTGGCAGCGTTGGTCCGTGAGAGATGCCACGCGCCATGAGCCACAGGATGAACTATTGCACATTTTTTTTGAGGAAGTGGTCTTGGTGAAAGCCCCGGGGCCCCGAGCTCGTTTCCACCAGGACGTCTTTCCCCGATGCCAGAGATCGCGCTGCATCGTCAATGCGTCGTCGGCTGTGCGGCGCGATCCAGAATCCGACTTTCTCCGTGCCGGCGTTGCCGGTGCATCGGCGCTGCATCGGCGGTGCGGTGCGAGCCTAGGGCCCCTCTTGCGCCGACTGATTTTGGAGGCCTCCACTCTGATCCGGGTGCGCCTTCATCTTCAGAAAGAGGTGGCTTGGGTTTTAGTGAGGCTGTGCTGTTTATCGTGCTTCTTTGCCATCCAGGGTTGCATATCCTCCTGCAGGGTTCCGACTCCTTGAGGATTCTGCTAGTCCTGCAGCTTCTTCGAGGGGCCAGGGAAGGGCACCTGCGGAGGTGCTCCTGCGCGGCGCCGTGCGGGAGCTACCGACGCGCCTCCTCCAGGTCTCGGAAGAGAAACAGAGCCCATGGAGGAAGGAGGAGGAGGATAGGCATGGTGATGAGGAGGAGGACAAGGAGGAGAGGAGGTGGAGAAGGGGGAAGAGGAGCTCCAGGAGGCGGGAAAAGGAGGGCCCCGGGGTGCGTGTTTTCCCTGTTCAAGCCGTCGTGCCAGGCCTTGCTGGTGGGATGGAGGGAGGAAGCCAGCAGTTCTCACGGCGTGAGAGCCCTGATTAGCGCCGAGGGGCGGGGCACACCGGGCTGCAGAGGGACGGCGGCGCGGCGCCGAGTGGGCGTGGAGGCGGTGCTGTGGTGTCCCAGGCTGATCTTGTTCTACGTGATCGCGGAGATGGTGGCGCTCTCGCCCGAGTGCCAACCCTATCCCTGATTGAGAGTAACATGTGCTGGCTACATTGCCAAGTCGGAACCTTGTTGAGGCCTGGACGCCTTCGCAGCCGAGTGGTGCTCTCGCCTGCGCGGTAGGTGCAACATTGATTGGCGATGATGCTGCCGCTCGGGCGCTGGTCACGCTGGCGGACTCGACACTTCTCTGCACAAGTCGTCGTGTGCGCGTCTTGTGCGCGACCACTCTTCGCTTGACAACTTTTCTGTTTGCAATAGTGCATGGTCGCGGATATGGTTGACGTGGGTGAGAACGTTCTGAAAATGACAGCCCTGCAGTTGATTAACAAGTCAGCGTATTGTTTGGACGAGGCACATCGTATAACGTATCGGCAATGCCCAGCGGACATGCAACAGTTTCCGCATCACTGGGCGACGCACCGTGGACGCAGGCGAAGTTGCTGGACAAACAACTTGTATGGAATCAGCGTCTTGATGCGAAATGCGGTGCCAATGAATAGTCTATGACAAGCCCACCCTGGTGAGACTACGGGGACGTGCAGCTGCCCTTCGAATGAAGCTGGGGAGGATGGACATATGAATTGACTGGCACGTACTGCGCCCCAATGGGACAGAGCAAAGTTTTTTGCTTATTTAAACATCGAATCTAGCAGTGGGTGCAACATCTTTGCGACACCCACGAAAGGATCACGGCTACATTATGGTGCTCAGACGCTCAGACTACAAGCTGGCTGTGGGCTGGCAAATGGAGTCGTAGGTACAATGAAGCAAACAGCCGTCAGTGTGGCTGGAGGAAGAAACTTGGGAACAGATAGCAGCAAATGCATAGTGATCGTTTCCTTATGCATTGTTTTGCCGATCGGCGTGGGCACTCGCCCTCCCCCTATGGAGTATATCTTGGCTGTTTTTGGCGCCTGTTTCAAGCAGGTGGAGTAATCACGGGGGCCCCGCCTTCCTCATCTCGTTTCGCGCAGTTGTGCATTGTGTTTTCGGGGCGGCCCTCGAGAAAATAAGAACCAGAGATGTTCATTCTGAT